GGGGGGGGGGGGGGGGGGGGTGGCGGGGGGGGGGAGGGGGGGGGGGGGGCGGGGGGGAGGGCGGGGGGGGGGGGGGGGGGGAGCACGGAGGAGGGTGGGAGAGGGGGGAGGGTAGAGGGGAGGAGGGGAGGGGAGGTAAGACGGTTAAAATCACGGGTTCCACCCATTATTACTACTACATTATTTTTATATGCAAAGCGGAGCAACGTCCGAAACAATAATTTCTAATGTTTGTTTACCGGTTGTCTTCGTTTTGCATCACATATGTATGTTATTTGTTCTGATTTTCTGCACATGTGTTATCTCCCTGATACGTCCATCAGCCAAAACATCAACGTGACGAGTAGCCAGATTGGGCAATTACAACAGCTGGCAGATCTCCGTCGATCGGGAACTGTATAAAAAAAATGCAGGCGGGGATTAGTAATACAGTCATATCTACCCAATTGAAAGACTTTCGAGCTGCAGCCAATAAGTCTGATTTTTGAGTGCGTATCACTTGTCAAAGTTACATTTCGGGTACCAAGACATTCTCTTCATTGGCTGTACGACTCTCATTATCATTAAATGTCTTACCACACCACACTATTATATAATAATTGTTTACAAAAAAAAAAAAAGAAAAGAGGGGGAATGGAAAAAAAAAAAAAAAATCATTTAAAAGGAGGACACCACGAGACCTGATAGAAAACGGTTAACGCCACAAAAGTCATGACAAGAAAGAAAGCATTGCGAATTAAGACAATCTCAACAGACCTTGACCGAATAAAGAAACATATTGATAATCGATATGTAATATGTCATACGAAACATAAGCAAATGTAACCAATATGGACATAAACAACAGAGAGTTCCAAACCAACATATGATGTCTTTGTGTTAACTATAACCAATATTGTCTGATAAGCGATTATATAATAATGATTATACGCTACCTTATTATATTCTATACAATACTTTATTATTATAGTTATGACAACACACACATATCCTGTGTCCATGAACATTCCGTATTCGATTACTTATTGATTATTTTTACGTCTACCAATTAAACACTTTTGACTATCGTGTCACCGAAACCCTTCTAATATTCAGTGTTTTTTCCCTTATATTACACTCATTAGTTTAATGTCATTGTGGTAGTGCATACTATAAAAGGACCGACGAGTTGACTTTTTCCTCATGTCTTTTTCACTCGTCAGTTTTATGTACTTTTAACGTCAAATCTTTTATTATTAATTTTTTTATTTCTGGTTTTGGTTTTTTTTTTGTTGTTGTCTCTTTTTCCTTCACATCGTTACTCTCGTCTTAGCAAAAATAAAGCGATAATATCATCCCATATTTCTCCACCAGAGTAGAAATTTTCGTTCTAGGCAAAGGGAAGGGAAATAACCTAAGGTCGATTTTAATAAAGTTCTTTATTTATTTCTCACAAACAATACAAGTTATGACGATATCTACTAGCTAAACAGAAAGAAATACACTCGGATACGATCTTTTCTCCCACTCCTTTTCCTCTCGTTATCATTCATTATCATTAATTCAACTTTATTCTTTGCACGCTCGCTTTATCACAAATACTCTGTTACGTTACATTCGGACACTTTTCGTTTTCTCGAGCATTAATCAGTTACCGATATATTTATAATAATATCACAATGCAAAATTCCACGTTTTCAGAAAAAGTCTTGACCATAACAAGTGCAGTGTTATGTTCTACTATCGTCGCTGTAAGTAGGAAAAGAGAGGTGTAAAACACTAGGACGTACGTTGGATAGAGAGTGTGCGAGAAACAGGACTATAGTAAAAAGGGTATCTTTACGCAAGTTATGTAGATCAATGCAATGCAATGCTAACACTCTCCTCGTTCCTCGTTTCCCCCTCAACCCCCGACTTTTTCCCCCCCAGGTCCTTTTCGGCATGAAGGCTTCCCGAGTAAACAGTCTTCGTGCACTAAACTATGCCCACTTTCTCGTGTTCTCACTCTACATAACATCATGGTTGTTCGCATCAACGGCATCTCTCTTTCTCGCCGTATTAGCCATGACACCGACATTTAATATAATATCTGATCTCAGTTCATCAACTGTATGGTATACCGACAGTCAAGGCGCCAGCCAAGTAATTCAAACTAATGGCCTAGCTGGTCAAGATGAGAGCATCGTTCTCGCAAGGCAAGAGAGATCTCTGTACAGTACGATGTGCCATCTGAGCATCCTTCTCTGCGTGTTCATGTACACCAGTGCAAAATTGATGTTGTATCTGTTTCTCGCTGAAAGAGTACACATTGTAAGAGACAGCAGGATTGCAAGGAAGGACAGCTTTTTATATCGAGGTAAATAAGAAACTGAGGTGAAGGGGGAGGGGGGAGAGGTGAGGATAAAACTTTCACTAGATCGATAACCGTCAAATCAAATCAATTAAATCCTATCCTCCACCGCTTAAATTTTAGTGAATATGCTGCTTCTCATACCATACGCTGGTATAACAGCCGGAATGTATATCCAACGTATAACAAGATTCGCTCCAGCGGCCGACCAATGCGAGATTGGCGTCGAGCTTCCGACATTGCTAGTCCTTCTTTCCTACGACACTGCCGTCTCGATCTACCTGACCGTTCTCTTTATCCAACCACTCGTGCGAGTCAATTACAAGAATCAACATCGATTCCTCTACGTTGCCAAGAGGACTTT